GGACCCTTGACCGCGGCAGCTTTGTCAATCGCTGGGACGCGCTGCTGGACGGGCTGCTCCAGTGCGTCATGATGGACGGCGAGTGGCCCCACGAGGTGCGCGCCTCCGCCTTTGTGGGGCGGGACAGCGTCCACCTCGGCGGCCAGGTACAGGACTGGGTGATGCCCGTGGTCGGCCAGCGCGATGGCGGGGCTGCCGCCTTCCAGCCCGTCACTCTCCCGGCTTGGGAGGACGTGCTCTGGTGGGCGCGGGGCGAGGCAGGCCTCCCTGACCTCGAGTGGCGCCTGGCCAGGGAGGCGCCGGGGTCGCTGGAGGCGACCCGGCGGCAGCAGCTCGAGAGCCTGAGAGAGGAACTGGCGCGCCTCCCGGAGGCCGCGGCGGTGTTCCTGTTCACGCCGGCGCGGCCCGACGTGTCCTACGACAGGCTCGTGGAGCTCGGCGAGGGGCGCAGCCCGCGGTCTGGCGGGGTGTACGTCCTGATGGGGGGTGCGCACGGCTTCGACGACAGCGACGACTGCGACAGCTGTTTCGCGGCCGAGGTCTTTGCGGCCTTCTCGGCGCGTTTCGGCGACGACCGCGTCCTCCGCGTCAGTCTCGGGGCAGACGAGCTCCCCGTGGGTGGGCCCGAGCCCAAGTTCACGCTAGCGAGCGTGGCAAGCTTTGTGAGCGTCGAGTACACCCGTGGGGCGCTGCAGCAAGCAGTTGCTGGCGTCGAGGCGTATTGCCATAAAAAAACGAGCACGTGGAGCCACTTCGCCCACATGCATCGCGGCAACTTCCCAGGGGGGGCAGGGAAGAACCAGCCGCGCCGCGTCCTCTGCGAGGGGGATGCGGGAATCACACTTGCGCACCCCCGCCCAGGTTTCTCTGAGGCCCCAGGGGTGTTAAGGAGGATGAGGAAGACCAGGAGAAAGACGAGCCAGGAGAAAGACAAGCAGGATGAGGCTCCTCCTCCTCCTCCTCCTCTTCCTCCTCCTCCTCCTTCTCCTCCTCTTCCCTCACGGGGCCGCCTACGCTGAGCCATCCAGAACCTTCTAGACTCCTTCTGACCCCGTGGAGACGCCCCCCGCCTCTACCCCATGCAGAATCCATGCCAGCCTCTTCGTCCCTGCGACTCCCCTGGCCGTCGCTGCCCCGTCTGCTGGGCTGCAGCTTCTCGGCCCAGGCTGGCCAGCGCGCAACCCGCGCCCGCTTGTGGACGCTACTGCGGGCGCGCAGGGGGGCTGCCGCGCGGCTGACGCCGCGCGAGCCTCCGCGCCCTTGTCGCGGGCCTCCTGCGGTTCCTGCAGACGGTCCGCTGCCTCCACCGACTCTGCCTCTCCCGCTGGGCCGGCTGTTTGCCCGACGCGCGGCCCGCACCCCCCCGATGTCGCTGCTGCCGGCATGCCAGGTGGAGGCTGCCACGCGGTGGGCGCCGCGCTGCAGCCTCTGCGGCCCTGGCCGCGTTTCTGCGGGCCCTGCGGGGAAGGTCCACTGCTCCCGCTGGGTTCGTCGCGGGCGGGCTTCCCATCCTTCTTGCGCCTGAGGCGGGCTCGACCGCCTTCGGAGGGCGGCGGCCGGCTCGCGCTGGGATCGTCGCCGCCCCTCTGGCGGCGGCCGCCTGCTTTCTCGAGTTGTTTGCCCGGCTGTGTGCGGCTGCCTCCCGTTGGGCGCCGTCCTGGGCCCCTGGTGGGTCGGATGCTGACTGCGCAGCAGCGGGCGCCTGCAGGCACTCCTCCTGGGGCTGGCTGGGATAGCCACGTGCTCTCGGGCCGCTCCGTGGGCTGAGCACGCGTGGCGCTGAGTGGGGCTTCCATTTTTTACAATTCCGCTTCCAGTGGCCTTCGTAGAAGGCCTGCGTGCTACAGCCGCACCTGCCTCCCTTGCGGGGACGCCGGGCCTCTCAGCGATGGCTGAGTTCGCTCGTTCGTTCTAGGGCCGCTCCGTGGGCAGCGCGCTGCTTGGCCGCGCGGGCTCCGCCCGCCCCAGCGAGGGCCGGCACGGCCCTGGCGGCGCAGACCCTCTTTTTTGGGGGGGGGGGGCGGTCGCCGCCGACAGGCGCCAGGAGGCCCGCCGGGGCGGCCCGTGGTGCGCGGGCGCCGACCGCGAGCCGAGCGCCTTTCCAGAGAGGCTCGTGGTCGTCGGGCTGGACGCTGCTGGGCTCGGTAGGAGCGCTGTGCTACCGCCCGTGCAGAGGATGGGGGACACGTAGGGACAGGTGGGGGTCGAGCTCGCCAGGGCTCGGGTTTGCCGACGCTTTTTGACGGGGCCGTCTTGGATTTCGACGGCCCAGGTTTCGCGGGATGTCTGCAGCGGAAGCTCGCGCCAACTTTCAAACGGGGTCTCGTCATTTGACAGGAGTTCAGGAGGGAAATAGATCATGTGTTAGCAAGCGTGAACCCCAAACAGTCATTTATGCATTGCAATCTGGGTGGTGCGATCAATGTAGTACAATCCATGTGGTGCAATCTGTGTGCACTGCAAATCAATGCAACGCAATGCAAAGTAATGTAGCGCGAAACATAGTAACGCACAACAAAACAAAGCAACACATTGCAATGCAAGCCAATGCAAAGTAACGCAAAGCACGGCAGAGCAATGCGAAGCAATGCAATGTGGTGTAAAGCAAATCAAATCAATGCAAATCAATGCAAATCAATGCCAAGCAGTGTAAAGCAATGCAACGCAAGGCCAATCAATGCAAAGCAATGTAATGCTGCCATACAATGCAATGCAAAGCAATGCAAAGCAATGCAAAGCAATGAGATGCGGTGTAAAGCAATGCAATGCAATGCATAGCAATGCAGATCATTGCCAAGCAATGCAATGCCATTTACGAAAATTAATGCAACGCGATGCAACACACTGCAACTCATGCAACCAACACACTGCAAACTTATGCAACGCGATGCAACACATTGCAAGTACTGCAATGCGGCGTAAACCAATGCAACGCAATGCAATTCAATGCAACGCAATTCAATGCAACGCAATGTAATGCCATGCGAAGTAATGCAATACGATGCAAAGCCATGCTAAGCAATGCAGCAAAGCAATGCAAAGCAATGCAAAGCAATGCAAAGCAACGCAACGCAATACAATGCAATGCAATGCAAAGCGGCGCAAGGTGCGGCGACGCGCGTGGCGGCGACGGGCGGCGACGGCGGCGACGGGCGGCGACGGGCGGCCAAAATCCTGCGGGGGCGGCACAGGGTTCCGGTTTCGGTGGCGATGGACGGCGGCGACGGGCGGCGACGGGCGACCAAAAGTCGGCCAGGGCGGCACCATGGGGAATATGGAAGTATGGGGAATGGAGAGAGAGAGGGAGAGAGAGAGAGAGAGGAACATCGATGAACTATGGGCACATCGAAGAAGTCCTGGATTTGGGTAGATTTACTTGTGTTTCTCAGGGCCACTCTGGGAGCGCAGGCAGTGCGCTCCTCGAGCTTGCCCAGGAGGAACCGCTCGAGTGGCTGGCTTCTCGCCGACCTTCCACAAGCACCTCGCTGCTTTCGCTAGCTTCCCCGCCATTAGCTTCTACTTTTCGCTGGATGCTCACAGGCCCCACGGCCACTCCATCTCCAACCCGGACGAAGATTTCCAAGTCAAATCCCATGGCATTTGATAGAGATCCCATTGACTTACAGTTGGGCTTGTAGTTCCAGGCCGCAGCGAAGTCGCACATTCATAGGCCTGAGTCGTCGCCAGGAAAAGGTATCTAGAAATATTGGGGCCTTTCGCTCCACCTCCGCGTCAGCTACAACTCTGGCATAAGCGCGTGCGAGAACGGCGAGCAGTGGCAGCGGGCTTTGTCGCTGCTGGGCGAGATGTGGGAGGCGAAGCTGGAGCTCGACGCCGTCAGCTACAGCGTCGGGATCAGCGCATGCGAGAGGGGCGAGAGTTGGCAGCGAGCTTAGGCGCTGCTTAGCTAGCCTTGGGCGACGAAACTGGAGCCTTGCGTAATCTCTATCAAGAGCCTTCGGCCCATCCCACCACCGTGCCTGCGTCGTGGACCATATGCCTCATAGATGCCTCTTGAGGTCTCGTGGGGGGCCTCTTGTAGATGTCTTCCAGGCCTGCTATGGGCCTCCTTGGGGTCTCTTGAGGCATCTTCATGGTGTCTTGGGAGTCTTTTGGGGACCTCTTGGGAGCCTTTGGAGGTCCCTTTGGGGCCTGCTGCTGGTTGCGGGGACTAACTTTGGGGGACCTCTCTTGGGCCCCTTTGGGGGGCCCTCTTCGGGGCCGTCTTGGGTCCCTCCTGGGTACTCGGCGATCTTGGGCGCCACTTGCCGTTTACGTGGTGCTGCGAATATGCTTGTCTTCTCACGTGGTGTGTAATGCCGTGCTGTCGTGCATCCGCCCTGCCGTCTCGCGAACATGCGTTTGTTATCGGGTCTGGTCCGTCGCCTCGGTGCCGTGAAGTGACGCACTGCCCTGCGACATGGTGTGTTGTGTCCTTCGTCTGCATCGCGAGCAAGCTTGTAGTTTCAACTGCTGTGTTTTGCCATGCTGCCTGTGCCCACCCGTGCCTTGTCGCAATCAAGCTTGGTCCCTTAGATAATTAGTTGCGCCACGCTGCTCAGTGCTCGCTGTGCCTTGCTGCGAACATGCTTATCATCCTGCATGTTTCGTTGTGTTTTTCGTGCTGCACTCATCCCAGCATGCCAGCGAGCCTGCGTGGGCGATAATCCACGGGTCAGCCCGAGTCATCTACCCAACAACTTCGGGGGAACCGCGTGCCAGAAAGGAAGTGTGTCAAAGGGCTCAACACCGGCCCTAGGCGGCCCTGGGGTGCTCCAGGACGGCTTAAGAGGGCCAAGACGGTCCAAGATGGCCCGAGACGCCTCAGACGGTCCAAGAGACCGCCAAGATGGTTTTCAGACGACCCCACAGTGTCGCAAGACGGCCCAAGAGGGCACCAAGAGGCCCCCAAGAAGGCGTTCGGAGCGGATCGCAGCCACTTCGGGCCGACCGTCGACCTCTTCGGCCCGATCACGGGCCGATGTGGTTGGGATGTTTAGGGAATCTGTAGTATTGTTTTGATTAAGAGAAGACTCTCAATAGCTGGTTGCAGTGCATTCCCTTAGTGCCCCCAGAGGAATGCTTAAAAAGCGGTTGCGATCGGGCCGATCTTTGGCGGTTCTCTACATCTATGATATGCACTCTAGGTTACGAAATCTATGCTGTGCACACTTTGCGATGCAGTATATGTGGTGCTATGTGGCGCAATCCATGTGCTGCAATTTATGCGGTGCGCAATTTACGCAGTGCAATCGACTCGACGTGGTGCAATTCAAGTGGTGCAATGTATGTCGTGCTATCTACGCGGTGTAGCATGAGTGGTCCAATCAATGTGGTCAAATCTATGCTGCGCACTCTATTGGTGCAGTCTGTGTTGTGCAATCCATCTTGTGCAGTCTTAGTGCTGCAATATATGATGCCCAATCTATTTAGTGCAATCTGCGTGGTGCAATTTGTGTTGTGGAATACTCGCGGTGCAACCTGTTGCTGTAATCAGTGTGGTGCAAATGAACGGCGGCTCAGTTCCTCAGCGCAGAATTAAGAACTGCTAAGCATCCGACCATTACCGACCCTGTGCGTTTCTGTACATCTGTATGTATATATACATATATATACATATATATATATATATATGTGTGTATGTGTGTGTGTGCGTGCGTGTGTGTGTGTGTGTGTGTGTGTGTGTGTGTGTGTGTGTGTGTGTGTGTGTGTGTGTGTGTGTGTGTCTGCGCTCGTGTGTGTGTGTGTGTGTGTGTGTGTGTGTGTGTGTGTGTGTGTGTTTGCGCGTCGATATGCATGTATCACTACAGGTATGTTCTTACGTATTTGCATCCATATCCATGTATGTGCATACACGTATAGGTATGTATGTTTGTGCACATGTAGTTATGCATTTTCATATACGCGTGCCACGCTTCATATACTTGTATGTGCATGTGTGTGTGTGTGTGTGTGTAACTCTGCATAATCTGTATACCATGTATGCATTCGTGTGTATGTACACATGTGTATGTATTCCTAGGGGGTCATGTGGAATCCCTAGGAAGCCAGATGATTCCTGAAGGAAGGAATCCTTCGGACTCCGTCGGAGTTTTTCTTTCCCCACGGAATCCCGAGGGAATCCGCTGGAATCGCAGGATCCCTATGGAATTCTCATGAATCTCGGGGAACCCGTAGGAGAAGGAATCCCTGGGAAAGGGGGCCGAGCGCCTCAGCGGTGGCAGCAGCGAGAGATGCGAGGAGTCGTGCCGTCTCCCCCACCTCCCCTCCCCCTGGGAAGGAGGGTTTCTCCAGGCTTCATCCAAGGGTAAAATGGCGACCTCCATTGGAGGCGCCACCCTCGGGTGCCTAGAATCCCAAAGGAATCCAACAGAAATGCATTCGGAATCCTGAGGAGTCCGTTAGGAATCCACAGGACTCCCTCAGGAATCTCAGAAGAATCCAGAGGAATCCCTCAGGACCCCCCGAGGAATCTTCAGGGATCCCCTAGGAATCCTTGGAATCCTCAGGAATCCTTTTGGCTTAAGATTTTTTCGGAGTCCTTAGGAATCTTTTCAGCGCTGGGAAGCTGAAGTGAGCTTCCCTCGTTGTAATCTGGCATTCGCCTTGGAGGATTACTGAAGGAATCTTGCACGATGGGATCAGTCCTTTCCAGTGGTTGCAATCAGTCCCAAGGGGGCCTTGAACGGCCCGATGTGGTTGGGATCGGCTTCAATCTCTCCAAGAAGGGCCCCGAGAGGCCCAAATCATCGATTTCCCGTTGGTTTTTTCAAGGATCTCAGCGTTCTCGTCTTTTCAGAGCCTCGACGCTCCAAGACGGCCCCGGGGCCTCCGAGATCGCGCCAAGACGGCCCAAGAGGCCCCCAAGACGGCCCAAGACTGTCCCGAGAGGGCCCCACGAGGGGAAACTCGAACTGACATTTCGCGCCCTCCGCTCCAGGATGATCCCAGAAGCCGCCAGCTGGCCTCCAAGAGGTCCCCGACGCCCCAGGAGGCCTGCCAAGAGGCCCAAATCAGGTTCCAAGAGGCCCTCGAGAGGCTATAAGATACCCCCAGAACCGCCTCCAAGAGGCTTCCGAGGGAAGGTCTCTAAGAGTGCTCCGGGACAGCGCCGGCCACCCAGGAAAATAAGGCGCCCATGCGCCTCTTATTCTCTCCCTTCTTGTAGAAAGGCTCTGGTCTGAATTGGCCACTCGTCAGGGAGTTCTCCTTGAGAGTGCTCCAGACAGGCTGGCCATTGGGGGCATTCTCCGCAGTGCCTTCAATCTCTCCCCAGCCCACGCAGCCCGCGTGCATCCTTCGTCCTCCTCGGGCGGCCACAGCCACCATGGAACATCGTTGGAAAAGAAGGCCCCCCGTTGTTTCTTAATTTCCAGCCCTGGCCGTGATACAGCCTCAAGGTGGCTCAAGATCATTGTGGGGAGGCCCAAAACACCCCCATTACCCGAATGGCAGCAGCACGAAACATGCAGGCAACAGCAGCGGCAGTACACAGCAACAGCAAACAGCAGCAGCAGGTAGCGGTCAGCAGAACGCACTAAGCAGACGTGGCCATCAGTTGCACCCTTCAGCCACAAGCAACAACGACACGCAGCAGCGGCAAGCATTACCAACAACAGACAACATCAGCAGCAAGCAGCAACACGCAGAGGCATGCGCCGAATGCGAGGGTCGAGCCCCACCTTGTAATTTCAGTCTTTCGGCAGCATGTCTACAATCACGTGCCAGTTCGTGCAGATGTCGTGGACAGAGTTCACCTAGTTTTTCCTGCATGGCCAGGGGAAGCGCCTGCGGGAAGGGAAACAGATCAAGTGTCGAAAATCGGCCTCGGCGGGCCCCTGGCGCGGCCTTGACGGGCCTCTGGCGCCACTGGCGCGGCCTGGCGTGCCTCTGGGCGGCTCGAGCACGCTACGGGACGCCTTCAGGGAGCGCCGAGATCGGGCCAAGAGCCCCAACATGGCCCCAAGACGGCCCCAGAGGCCGTCCAGACGGCTCGCGGGGGCCAAAGATCGTTGATTTTTCAATGCTTCTTGCTTGATTTTCAGGTTCTCGCGATTTCGAGCCAAGAGCGGCCCAATACGGCTCTTGGGGCCCTCCCAGAACGCTCCAAGGCCGCTCAAGAGCTCCGGTAAGGGCCCCAAGACGGCTCAGAAGGGCTTCAAGACGGCTCCCGGAGTAGCCCAAGACGGCCCAAGAGAGCCTCAGAGAGCCCCCCAGAGACCCTAAACGGGCCCCAAGAGCCGCCCAAGAGGGCTCACAGAGAGAGAGCTTCGAGACGGCCCGACACCCCCAAGATGGCCCCAAGACGGGCCAATAGGCCGTTCAGACGGCTCGCGGCGGCCAACAAATATTTTTTTTTGATGGTTTTTGCTTGATTTTCAGGTTCTCGCGATTTCGAGCTCAGAGCGGCCCAAGACGGCTCCTGGGCCCCCCACGACTGCTCCAAGGCTAAAGAGGCTCCAGCAAGGCCCCCAAGACGGCTCAGGAGGGCTCCAAGACAGCTCCCAGAGGAGCTCAAAACTGCCCAAGAGAGACCCAAGACGGCGCGAGAGAGCCCCCAGGAGCCCCCAGACGGGCCCCAAGAGCCGCCCAAGGGCTCATAGAGAGCTCCGAGACGGCCCAACACCCCCAATATGGCCCCTACACTGCCCCAGAGGCCGTCCAGACAGGCCGCGGCACACGAAGTCATTGATTTTCCTATGGTTTTTGAACGATTTCCACCTTCTCGCCATTTCGAGACTGGCCCAAGACGGCGTCTGGGGCTCCCCCGAATGCTCCAAGGCCGTCCAAGAGGACCCGGAAAAGGCCCCACAAACCACCCAGGAGGGCTCCAAGCTGGCCCCAGAGGCGCCCAAGAGGGGCCCAAGAGCCGCCCAAGACGGCCCGACGACAGCCCGAGAGGCGCCCACGACGGCCCCCCCAAAGGGCCCAAGACTGCTTGTGAGGCGCCCAGGACGGCCCCGAGGCTTCCAAACTGTTCCCAGAGAAGTGAGACGGACGACAGTTCACAACGCTCGGGGGGCCCTGCATGCTTCTGTTTGGGGGGGCGCTGTCGTAAGACCCGCTCTGAAGACGCTAGATGACGTGAACAAAGTCCACGGGTTCGCCCTGGTCTGCTAAAGCGCCGGGATCAGCGCGTGCGAGAAGGGTTAACAATGGCAGCGGGCGCTGGCGCGTCTCAGCGAGATGTGGCAGGCGAAGCGTGAGCCTCGCGTCACCATCAGTTCTATAATCATGGGGCCCGCGCGTGCGAGAAATGCTCCTGTCTTGAACGGATCTCCGAGGCCCCCGGTGGGTCCCCAGGCAGTCCACAGACACCACGAGGGTCCCAACATCCCGTGCTGTTCTTAGGGGACTCGTGGAATCCCCGAGCATGCAAGACCCATAAAGCAGCCTCCAAGGCGACCCAAGGCGCCCTCGGGAGGCCCCAGCACGCGCCCGAGAGGCTCCACAAGATTCCCCAAGACATGCCTAAGACATCACACACCATTCGAAACCATATGGGGCTTTTGTGTTTTCTTGTCTCCTGGCTTCTCGGCTCAAGCTGAATCAATTATATAAATAAGGCCTCGCAGGGCCTCCGAGTGCCCAAACATGTATCCAAGACGGCCCCAAGGATGGCCAGCACCAGCAACAGCACGACCAGCAACAGCAACAGATCCCGCAGCAGCAGTAGCAACCGCGAACAGCCAGCCGCAGCAATCATAACCTGCGGGCTACAGGAGCCAGCAGCAACAGTAAGCAAGTGGGCAGTAGCAACAAGTAGTAGCAGGCAGCAGCGAGCAGCAGGGAGCAGCAGCAAGCAAGCATCAGCACGCATGTGTAATTGGTTTAAGCAGGCTGCAGCAAGCAGCTGCAAACAGCAACGAGTGTCAGCGGGTAGCAGCACGCAGCAGCGAGCGGCAGTGGGCGGCATCGAGCAGCAGCAGCAGCAGCAGCAGCAGCAGCAGCAGCACAGCAGCAATGAGCAGCGAGCAGCTCCACGAAACGGCAAACAGGCAGCCAACTTCAGTAAGCGGCAACAAGCGGCAACGAGCCGCAGCGAGCGGCGGTGATCAAGCTCAAGCGGGAGAGACTAGCAGCTTTCGGCAGCAAGGAAATACTACGTTGGCGCCACTGTCTGCACCGTCTCGCGAACATTACACAACGTGTCACTCATACCAGTCAAGAACTTATTCGTGGAAGATTGTCCACGGGCCAGCCCTTACTAATTTGCATCGCCGAGATCAGCGCATGCGAGAAGGGCGAGCAGTGGCAGCGGGTTTTGGCGCTGCTTGGCGAGATGTGGGGACGCGAAGCTGGAGCCCACCGCCACCAGTTTCATCGCCGATATCAGTCCACGCAAGAGGGTCGAGCAGTGGCTGTCGGATTTGGCGCTGCTTGACGAGATGTGGGAAGACAAGCGGGAGACCGATGCCACCAGCTACAGCGCTGGGATCAGCGCGTTCGGGAAGGGCTTGCAGAGAATGTGGGCGCTGGCGCTGCTCAGCGAGATGTAGTCGCTCGAAGCTGGAGCCCCATGCCATCAGTCTTCGATGTGGTGATCAGCGCGTGCGAGACAGGGGGAGCAGCGGCGGCAGGTCTTGGCGCTGCTTGGCGTATTGTGGGAGGGGAAGCTGGAGCCGGCGCCACCAGCTACAGCGCCTTCCCGTCGTGTGCCCCCCGTCTCTCCTGCCCTCCTCAGGATGGGCCAGGATGTACGGATTCGTCCCTCCCCTTCCCTACCTGCTTTCCTCCCTCCCCTCATCCAGCGACGAATCTCCACAGCACAACATTGGAGGGGCCCTACGACCGCGACGGTATAAACCTTACGACACCACAGACGTTACATGGCTTAAGGCATGGTTGGACTTACACGAGCGTTATTTCTTTCCCAACTATCCTGTGGTGTTGGGTCTTCGTTTTGAAGAGACAGCGCCCCGCGTTCCTCCCTCCCTCCCTCCCGCCTCCCCCCCCTCCCCCGCGTCCTCACCCCTCCTCCTCCCGCTCCTCCCTCCTCCCACCCTTGCCTCAGCCCTCCGCATGCCCTCACCGTCATTATCCATTATCATCGTCATCATCATCATCATCATCATCATCATCATCATCATCATCATCATCATCATCATCATCATCATCATCATCATCATCATCATCATCATCATCATCATCATCATCATCATCATCATCATCATCATCATCATCATCATCATCATCATCATCATCATCATCATCATCATCATCATCATCATCATCATCGTCATCATCACTGTCCGCGCGATCCAATTCGGCACGTTTCTTGGCCCCATAGGGTGCTCCACCGACAGCCCCAGTGGTAGGGCTTACATGCATCCGCACGACCCATTTCGGCACATCCCACACGCGTTGCATGGCCCCATAGGGAGCTCCGCCGAAGGCCCCAGTGGCAGCGCTTACATGCGTCCGCGCGACCCGTTTCGGCACACCCATCACACGGTTCGTGGCCCTGTTAGGAGCTGCACCCAAGGCCCCAGTGGCAGGGTTTACATGCGTCCGCGCGACCCATGTCGGCACACTCATCACACGTTTCGTGGCCCCATATGTGGCTCCACCGAAGGCCCCAGTGGCAGGTTTGCATGCGTCCGCGCGACCCAGTACTGTTGTCTTACATAATGCAGCTCATCGCTCTCCTCAGTATACACTGCAGTGCAAACGGATATTTTACATATGTGGTTGTTGCGCATCCTCGTCGGGCGTTGGTAAAGTCGGCCTGCCACGTGGCACTCCTATATACATGTATAGGAAGAGGAGGGAAGGTGACGGTGATGATGCTGATGATGCTGATAATGGTGATGACGGTGATAATGATTAGGGTGACCGTGAAAATGATGACGACGACGGCGATAATGAGGATGCTGCTGATGATGCTATATGATGATGATGGTGAGGATGACGCTGATGATAAAGATGCTTCTGACCAGGAGGAGGACAATTCGGATGAGGAGGCGGAGGAGGTCGAGGATGGGGTATGAGGAGAAATGTAAAAGGAGGAGGAGGAAGAGGAGGAGGAGGAGGAGGATGAGGAGGAGGAGGACGAGAAGGGGCAGAACGGGGAGGGGGGGGGTCCCGTACTCCCCTTCCGCACCTCTTCCGCCGAGGCCAACCCCGAGTGGGGCCTCAAGATGGGAGTGAAGATGGGCTCGCCCGAGTGGAACTCCTTGGCGGACCCGAGCTACACAGGATCGACCTTCCCTGCTGCGCAATCCCTCGTTCCCCCGGGCGGTAAAGGTGTTCGAAGGTTTTGGGCGGTTCAGAGGGGCCAGCGGATCCGTCTTTTCCCTCCTCTTCCTTCTTCCAGAGCTTCATGTGTTCCATTGTCGCCTGTCAGATTTTTGGCCTTCTATGTTTTCGATGAGTTAGTTCCTGGGAGCCCTGGCATCTGTGTGATCAAGATAAATGTGATTTTGTTTCCCACGTTGCCCTGTTTTGGGCCTCGTGGGCTGGAGCTGTACGTGCTTCCTCCTCTCTGCCTCTTCTCTCCTCTCCTCCCTACTACCACCATTTTCTCATGTACTGGTATGGTGGATTGACCTGTGGTGTTCAGGGGGCGCTGAGCGTGACGCTGCAAGGAAGTACGAGGGTGGCGAGAGATGTCATGATGCATGGCTCAGGGGGCTCCCCGTCATTCCCATTTTTATTTCTAATGTGTGAATTCGCGCGGTGTTGAGCTCCCGAATGCTTGTGCGATGATCTCCACAGAACCTTAATTTGCAGGGGTTGACAGCGTGTATCCGAGAATGTTGCGGATTCGGGTGTGTTTGCTGGAGTATTCTGGATTTTTTCTGGCGTGGACGACCCGAGACGAGATCAAGATCCGCTCTTCTTGCCCTCGAGAAGTGCTTGCACTTAGGGTTTGCTCGGTTTCGTGATGAGCTGGCACTGTGTCGTTGGAATTGGGTTCAGTACGTTCCTCGCGGTTCTCGCTCCATTCTCGCCTTGGCCTTGTTGTCCATCCCATCGCGAGAGGGTCCTGCATGAGGGAGTCCCACGCGGGAGGATTACACACACGACGGGGTTCCTCACGATTGTTTGCCACACGGTGGGGTCCCACACAGAAAGGGTTCGACACGATAGGACCCCACACCACATGGTCGCACACGAGGGGGTCCCACACGACACAGTCCCACACGGCAGGGTTCCACACGACAGGGTCGGGTCCCACATGGTACAAATGCCAATCAATATCGTCCCACGCGATTGGGTCCCACATGGTAGGGTCCCACGCGATGTGGTCTCAGACGGTGGTTTTCGACATGATAGGGTCCCATACATTGCACCCATAGGTTGTAATTCACATACTGCGCAGAGTCATCACTGGTTGGGGCTTACGCTGGTACCATTCTCTCGACGTGTGTCTCGTTTCTCTTAGTCTCCCTGGTGTTCCTACGCTTTGACTTTCTCTCATAGGCCCTGCGGTGCCACAACCATGATCGTACATCCAAACGGCGCGTGCGCGAATCGTGATGCTACACGGAGGTAGGTTCGACCCCAGTTACGGGTGTTATCGGGAATAGTTCTGAGCAAGTTTCAGGAGGAGGAGGTCAGGTCAGGTCAGGTCAGGCAGTCCTCGAAAGCTCCTCGAAAGAAGGCTACCGGGGGGGTGTAGCACAAAAGCTACAGCCCAGAGGAGGAGGAGGAGGAGGAGAAGGAGGATAGTAGGAACATGAGGAGGATAAGGAGGAGGGGGAAGAGGTGGATGAGAAGCCACCTAGGAACGTACCCAACCCTTTATAAACACTGGGCGACCTAAGGAGGAGGAGGAAGAGGAGGAGGAGGATGAGGAGGAGGGGGAGGAGGAGGAAGAGGAGGAGGAGAAGGAAGAGGAGGAGGAGGAGGAGCCGGAAGAGGTGGATGAGGCATAACTTAGGGACGTAACTTACCCTTTCTAAACGTGGGGCAGTGCCTGTGCACGTTTTGCTAACGAATGTCGGACCACACCCAACGTCCCCATTCGGGCTCGAGGACCCGTCTGGGTGAGCCCAGATTGTCGCTCCGCTGGGGCTCCCATGAGCTCACGAAAGCGGAGACAGTTGCGCAGATTGTGGACCCACAACAAGCGTGAGGTGGTCTCGCGCGTAGGATGTCGCTCCGCTGGGCCTCTGAGGAGCTCACGAAACTGGCGACAGTTGCGCAGTCTGCAGCCCCCCCAGGTAGCGCGGGGTCCCGTCTGGGTGCGCGTAGGACGCCGTTTTGCTGGGCTTCTAGGAGCTCATGAAAGTGGCGACAGTTGCGCAGTTGGCAGCCCCCAATCAAGCGCGAGGTCCCGTCTGGGTGCTCGTAGGAAGTTGCTCCGCCGTGCCTCCAAGGAGCTGAGAAACGTGGCGACAGTTGCGCAGTTGGCGGACCCCCAACAAGCGTGAAGTCTCGCCAGTTGTAGTATTACATGCCCTCTTGTTCTTTCCTCTTGTTCCTCCTCTTCCGCTGCCGTTTCACCTCAGACAGCTGTTAAGTTACACGGACAAAACAATTGCGCATCTCTTTCCTCACATCCATCTCCCATTTCACTCTGGTAGCGGAGCCTGGTTTCACCGTACCACCAGGCTCCCTACACCTCTTTCACCGGCTGCTACCTTAGCAGCCCGCTTACCCGTCTGACCCGATCGAGTTCGCCTGCCCCACTGGGCTCAGCTGCACGCCGATCGCATCAGACAGTTCAACGAGCTTGAGTTCATCGCCGGGCCGTTCGCCTGAGTTCACGCCGAGCTGCTTGAACTACTAGCACTTACTGACTTGGCACACGTACTGTTCTCCTCTTCGTCTACATCATGTTTACTCCACAGTATTACGACAACTCATACAGTACGGCTTTCTGGGACGCTAGCGAAGGCGGGGTCGCACACTACTGGGACAACGGCGGCAACTTCGGCGTTCCACAGCCGCCTCAGCAGCGGCTCAACGCCCAAGCGGCGCAGCTCAGCACCAGCAAGGTGCCGCCCTACTGGACTCCAGAGCTGGAGCTCCAGGGCTACCCGTTTAGGACGTACCTACAGGACGTCCGCATCTGGAGCAGCTCTTCGGAGCTGAACGTCGAGGCCCAGGGCGGCGCGGTGGTCCAGCGCCTTGGCGGCGTGGCCCGGTCGTTCGCCCGGGACGTGGACCCGGAGATCCTGCGCAACGGCCGCTTCCAGCTCGACAACATGGGCCAGCAGGTCTTCGACCTCCAGGGGAACCCGGTCGTGGTCTCGGGCCTTGAGTTGCTCCTCAACGGCCTCGCCCGGAAGTTCGGAGCCAGGGAGTTCGAGACCTCGGTCTCCTCCGTGATCGAGCTTCTCACCTTCCGCCGGACCCCGCGCGAGCCTATCGACGACTGCTTGGGCCGCTTCGAGCTCATCCGCAAGCGGGCCAACGAGCTCGGCGACTTCCAGATGGGCGTGGGCGGCCTCAGCTGGATGCTGCTCCACCAGCTGGGCATCCACAAGATGCACTGGCCGCTGCTGCTGTCCGCCCACCAGGGGCGGTTCCCACGAGACGAGCCGGGGTTCGAGGCGCTCTTGACGCAGATTCGGGACCAGTGTCATCTGTTGGAGCGCTCCCACGCCGGCGCCAGGACCCTCGAGGAAGGCTGGCGCTTCCCGGCGCACACCGGTTCGTACTGGACCGGACCGTCGGCAGCGACGGGCGCTGACGGCTTCGGCGACGGTCCCGGCATGGACGCCTTCGCGGCGTGCAGTGGAGGCGAGGTTCCATTCGCCTCCAGCCGCGGCTCGCAGCACGGACAGTGGGGTATCAATTGGGCCCCAGGGGGTTACCGAATGGGCCCCAGAGGCATCTTACGATGCAAGCTACTACGGCGAGCCCGACTCCGAGAGCGAGGACGAATTCGAGGGCACCGACGCCGAGAACTTCGAGTACTACGGCGACCTCTCCAACGTCACCTACGACGAGGTGCGCCACCAGTACCTGGTGGCGAAGAGGCGCTTCCGGAGGTTCACCGGCCGCCCTCCGCGTCGTCATCGTCTCGGGAAGGGTAAGGGTAAGGATCGAGGTAAGGGCTATGATCCACTGTCTTCGGGAAGCCCTGCTAAGGGCGGCGGACGCGGCCACAACCCGTTCGCCGGCGGCCACTACATGCAGGGCGGGCCCATCAACTCCAAGTCCCTGGCCGGCGGCAAGGGTCGCGGCAAGGGGCTCCACGGCGCGCAGGCCGGAGTCCGCAAGCTGAACCCGATCGGCGCGGACGGCAAGCGCCTGCTGTGCCACGAGTGCGAGTCCGACCAGCACCTCATCAAGGACTGCCCGCGCCAGTGGCACCACTACGCCGACCCCAACGCGGGCTGGGCCAACTCCATGGCCGGCGGTTGTGCCAGCTCCTGCGGCGCTGGCGGACTCTGTGGTGTATCACCGTCGCCAGGGGCGCACTTCCACTTCGCTACGCCTGCTGCTCCTGAGGCGCAGGACCCGCACCAGTACCCCGTCCAGTTGGAGATGGACGACTCGTGTTACATGTGCGAGGCTGATGTTGATGTGGAAGGCGCGCCGGCGGTAGCAAATGCACCGCAGCTGGGGTCAGCGGTAGCCAACGCACCGCAGGCAGCAGCACCAGGGAAGGGCAAGGGCAACGGCAAGTCTAAGACGCCCTGGCGTGATCCATGCCCGGACGAGCGTCCCAGGACGTCACTCCTGTTCCCCTGGTGGCATCAGCCCACGGAGGTCGAGGAGAACACCGACAGGTACTCCTACCTGGTGAAGCTGACCGATCGCGACGGCGAGGCGCTCCTGGTTGATCCCGGATCTCCCGACAACCTCGTCGGAGATCGTTGGTGCGAGCGTCAGGCACGGCTCATCAGCCAGGCCGGACTCAGCCGACCGCAATCTGAGCAGATACCCACGTTCCGGGTCGGCGGAGTTGGGAAGCACGCGCAGGAGTGCAACCGCAAGATCACCAACGCCATTGGCCTGGAGGACGGCTCCGCGGGCTCATATGCGGCGCCGGTCATTCCTGATAGCGACGTGCCGGCCCTCCTCGGGCTCAAGTCGCTCACCAACCAGCGGGCGATCATCGACACCTACAACAACAAACTGTACCTTGTCGGCCCCGGCGGCTACACGATCCAGATGAGCCCCGGCAGCAAGGTGCACGACCTCAAGAGGTCCAACACCGGCCACCTGCTGTTGCCGTGCTCCGAGTTCGGCAAGAACCAGCGGGCGGACACCCAGAAACTTTCCCACGGAGCGGCACGATGCACTAGCAAATGCAGTGCAGGACGCGGGTGAGCACGCAGTAGCCAATGCACTGCGGGGTGAGTCGCGGGGCAAGTACGCAGTAGCCAATGCACTGCGGAGTGAGTCTAAGGTGGCACCAGCAAATGCGGTACAGGGCGGATCGGTGAAGGATCTGATACGCTATTTCGGTGGCGTGCCGGATGCACGCAACGCCTGACAAACGAGCGGGACCGGCGTAGGTTCCGCGCCGGAGCCTCCCGCTGAGACGGGGGACACCACCACTCCTAAGTCTATCCTCGAGCGTTCATCCACACCTCCACCGACCAACAGCACCCCATCAGCACCCTCTCTCACTCCACGGCCCTGCAGGGCTTGGATCCTTGACGACAAGGAAGGTCTACGACAGCGTGTCCTTTCTGACGCTGTCTTCCAGGTTCGGCGCGTGGACTGCCTGTTCAAGCTCATCGGGGAGCGTGCCGACCGAGTCAACCTGCAGTTGCACAGTGACCGACCTGAGCTGCTGTGGGCTAATGACATCAATGTGGGCACGCCCCGAGGCAGCAGGCGTGACAGGCAGGCCATCAGGATTTTCGTCAGATTGGCCAGGACGCAGCTCGCGCTCGGCCAGCACTTCGTGCTCGACGCAAACTCCAGCAGCCTGATCTGGGATCAGGCCGAACTTCGGGAACTCGCTGCTCAGCCAGATGTCTATGAGGCTCTACATCGCTGGTGTAACCTAGGTGTTGTCGACGATCAGGGTCACCCTGTGAACCGAATCCTTCGGACGATGTCTTCTATCAACCCCCAGTCCGATCTGGACTGTCGGGAACGTTCCCGTTCCGAGGACAGGATCCCCAATGGTCTCGTCAGCGCAACCTTGGACATGCGCGAGACCCTCCTCAGAAATCTTGTGCACAAGATCCTCGGAACTCGACCAGAGTTGCAGTCGCAGGTGTAGTCACAGTTGCAGTTAAGGTCACAATCAAGTTCGAACTCGCAGCTAGCATCGCAACCGTTGCAGCGACATGCGCAACGTGCTACATCGACCGAACGTCTGGTTATCCTCGACGCCGACACGCCATCACAGGACGGATATCGGAAACCCGATGAGCCTGACACTGAGCGAATCCGAATCGAAGCTCTCATGGCCGAGGGTACCAACAGGACCCTCGAGGCCTTCCCGACTGAACAGCGGGAGCGAGCCAAGGCTGAGGCAGCCCTGGCCAAGGCTGCGGGCACCGCGCCCGTCGGGAAGCGCAAGAAGCCCCAGGTCGTCGAGCAGCACTTCGACGACTGCGGCTCCGACCTCACGCCCTTGCTCTGGGTCGACCGGTTCGACGACGACCGCTTCCAGCAGCTCTTGGATGCTCCGGAGGCTGACTACCACTTTGGATTTCGGGGCTCAGACCCGGGCGAGATGCCACGGGAGCATTGAAGCTGCTGATCTTGAGGCCTTTCTGACCTCTCACCCGCACAAGGTGGACGTCGTGGAGATCATGTTCGGCTTCGGCCGGACCACGGAGATCCTCGTCCACCGCAACTGCGTGGGCGGCCTCAACTTCGACTACATCGCGGGCTTCGACCTGACGAAGGACAAGGACATCGCCTACCTTCGGAAGTACCTGGACGCAACGGAGCCCGAGATCAAGATCTTCGGTGCACTGGCCAGAGGCGCTGGTCAGCCCTCAACCGCACCATCAACCACGAGAAGTGGGTGGAGTCCAGGCGCGTGTCCTTGCACCTCGGCGAGCTCTGTGCCGCCATCGCGGAGTACCAGCTCAGACGGGGTCGTCACTTCATCGTCGAGAACCCCGTGGGCTCGGAGCTCTACCAGATGGACCACTGGGTAGACTTCAAGCGCAGGTACGACCTGGCCGTGGTCAGGTTCCACCAGTGTATGACGGGCCTCATCGGCCGTAAGACTGGCTTGCCCATCCAGAAGCACACGGAGATGTGGGCCAGCGATGGTCGTCTGCTACGGCGTCTTGCAGCTCGTCAGTGCGATGGGCGGCATCAGCGCGCTGTACTTGGTTCTCGGCATCGGCGACCAGGTGGGCCTCCACCGCCTTCTGAGAGGCCTGGGGAGGCACAGGTATGGCCTCGTATGTTATGCGGGATCTTGGCCGAGGGGTGTCTTGACGTACTTGCTGACAGTACTCACAACAGCACGTTAGGCCAAAATCCCCAGCGCACTTTCGTGGCCATCGATGCCTTCGCCTCGTTCTTCCCCTCGTCTGCTGGCGGATCATCAGCATCGTCTGACCCTGCTGCGCCAGCGAATGCGGTGCAAGAGCAACCTGAGTCTGCCTCAGCGGAACCTGAGGCGCCCCCGCCAGGCGGGCGACCTAAGGCGACCCAGAAGCGTGTGTACACCTGTCCTGGGTGCACGGGGCACAAGCAGATGCTGGGCCCTCGGCGCGCGCGAGATCACACGTGCAAGTCCCCGACGGAGTACTCCTGTCCAGCCTGCATTCGAGGGCTGCCGCCATCGGACCCCAGTCACTCCTGGACCGAGAAGTGCAGAGTACCCGGCCTGGGCCCCTCGCAAGGTGGACCAGCGCCGGCTGCGGGGCGTCATCCCCGGGGCCCTCGAGTCCCGAGTGCAATCGGCGATCCCGCCGTAACTGGAGGGCCTGCAGCTGACTCTGCCGATGCTGCGGCCACCGATGCCGTCGCCCCTCCAGGCGATGCGGCCGACGGCCTACCGCCTCCAGTAGCCAATGCACTGGAGCGCGCAGCTCGTAGAGGGCGCGGCGTTGCTGTCGCCGCCCAAGCCGGACTCAGCGACGACACGGAGTGGGTGGCCTTCGACATCGGCAGGGCCATTCAGCTGCTCCAGAACACCGATGTCGCCATCGTCCGCAGGACCCTCCGGCGGCTCCACATAAGGTTCTGGCACGCTTCGGCCGCCAGGATGCGAGAGCTGCTGCAGCGAGCGGGAGCTCCTCATCGAGCTCTCAATCTCTGCAAGGAAATCGTCGAGACATGTAGGTCATGCCGCATGTGGGCCCGACCAGGCCCCAAGTCCATCACGGCGACGCTCCGGCTCGCCTCGGCATTCAACGAGGTGGTGCAGTGGGACATCTTGTTCCACAGGACGATCATGATCAGCCACCTCCTGGACGAGGCCATCAGATTCTGTGCAGCCTCGAGCCTGGCCGACAAAAATGCGGCCTCTATCATCGCGGCCATCGCGGTGGACTGGCTGCGCCCTCTGGGTCCCATGCGGGTACTCGTAGCAGACCAAGAGGGAGGCCTCATGTCGGACGAGGCGGCGCAGTGGATGGACCGCTGGCAGATCCAGCTTCGGTCCAAGGAACCTGGAGCGCACGCCCAGATAGTTGAGCGTCATCACGACATTTTACGTCGACTCCTGCTCCGAGTGGAGTCCCAGCTGAACGAGGAGGGCATCATCAACGTCCCGCTGGAGATGATAGTCGCGGAGTGCTGTCTCGCCAAGAACCTCCTCATCAGCATCGGCGGCTACTCGCCCTATCAGGCCCTGTATGGCCGATTGCCGCCCATCATGGCTGAATTCGAGCCTGCCTCGGAGACTCAGCTGGACGATATGTCAGCAGGAGTCCCAGGAGTGAGTCGACATCATCATCGACTTCGAGAAATTGCCGTGCAGTCCATGGTGGATCTCACGGCCAAGCAGCGCATCGAGCGGGCCATGCGCGCCCGAACTCGGCGCACGACCGAGTCGCTCATGCTGGAGCCGGGCGACCTCGTCGACTTCCATCGACCTCCGACGTCCACGGACGACAGCGGTTGGCGTGGACCAGCCACGGTGATCAACGTCGGCAGCGGCACGGTGACCATCCGATGGCAAGCGAGGTTCATGCAGTGCCGGACGCAGGACATCAGGCGCGCCCTGGTCTTCCTGAGCATGCTGACCCACCACGCCGGAGATAGGCCGGGCCTGTTGCCGACTCAGGTCCTGACGACCTTTACCGACTCGCTCAGCAAGCAGATGATCCGGTTGGGCTGGGTGCTACGCGGGGTGTGGCACCGCGTCAGGGCCAACGCGAAGTACGGCGAGGTGCTCTCGGCTCTCCTACACGTGGCGGCCTGCGGATTCCACCTCGTGGGTGGACGCGTTGGTCACGGCATCTCCGTCCTCGAGGGCGTGGAGGAGGTCGACAACAGCTTTCTCTGGTGGTGGCGTGAAGGCCGGCCTGGCCTCTCATGGTATCTGCACTCCCCTGGCACGGCCAGGATCAAACTGACCGAGGTCTTCGGCCAGGACTGGCAGAACACGTCCTTCGTCGAGTTCCTGCTGGCCGGCGGTGACCAGGTGGAAGATCTGCGGCGCATGGAGGTGGACGTGCCCAACATCGGTGGACCTCACGACCGTGAGGTCGGCGCACCCATGGAGTGGGCACCTGACCCACCGGCACCTCCTCAGGTGCCTCCGCATTCACCCAGGCCACCAGAGCTTGGAGTACCAAATGGGCTCCAGAACGACAGCCCAGTAGATAACTCACTTGGGCCGAGCTCTAGATCGACCTCTCGTTCGAGGTCCAGTCGAAACCAGTCCACGCCCAATCGACACGACGACGACGAGCTCGTGCCCGTGCCGCGGCAGATCACCCCTTCCGATCGCAGCAGGAGCAGCCATGGCGACAAGGCGGGAGAGTGGCAGCGACAACGACCACCGACACCAGCTGGTAAACGGACCGCCGGTCAGGGCTCGGCGGCGTCTCCTGACAAGCGTCAGCGAGGCACGACATCAGCGAATGCGATGTCAGGATCGTCGTCCTCGTCTGCTCTACACGCACCCGCAGCAAAGGCTGCAGCAGGACCATCAGCAGCGGTGTCGTCATCGAGTGCGTCGGCTCCGATGCCGCCAGCACCGATCTTGCCGATCGTCGGCGGCTCTGGCGAGGCGGTCGACTTTCCCGTCCCCGACAACGACGACGACGACTCGCAGGTTACGATCGACTACGGTGAGCAGGATCTGTTCGTGGACTCTTGTGGGTTGGAAAGCTATCTTACTGAGCATTGGATGACCGACTCCGGCATCATCGACGTCTTCACCGACCAGCTGAGCAGCTGCGGCCCTATCGAGATGCTGGACGCATTCCCTAGCATGACCGAGGCCCCCGACGCCGTGCACGACAGTGGCTATAACCTCGTGGCCTCGGAATGGCCTCTGCCGTATCACGATCAGGAAATTTCCGATTATGGAAGTTTCCGAGCCGCTCAGTAGGTGCATCGTCCCAGACCGTAGCCAATGCGCGGTCACCAGCAAGAGCTTAGGACCGCTAGCGACAGGCAGCGGCGCCAGCGAGTCCTATGGCACCTGCGCCCAGGGCGCCAGCCAGGCAGCGCTCATCGAGAGGGAGTACAACATCCTCTCGCTGGACGAGGCGTTCGCCGACGAGGAAGCCGTTGAGCAGGCCGTGTTGGACGAGCTCGAGCGCTGGCGCGGCCTGGAGTCGTTCAGACGACAGCCTCGCTCAGAGGCCCGGAACATCTTGGACGCCAGGTGGGTCCTAAAGTGGAAGCTCATGCAGTTGGCGCGGCCGATCGCGGGGCAGAAGGCTGCCATCGAGAAGGTGCGGCAGGTCAAGGCCCGCATGACAGTGCGCGGCTACCGCGACGCCCAGGCGGCGGACATCGCCACCTTGTCCGGCACCACGTCTCGCTGGGGCCAGCGCCTAGTTGTGATCAGCGCCGTGCAGGCAGGCTGGGACCTGTTCAGCCTGGACGTCTCACAGGCTTTCCTGCGTGGCATGCCGTACTCTGAGCTGGCCAAGCCTGACGGCGAGATTTCCAGAGACGTGTCGTTCACGGTGCCACCCGGGAGCATCCCTCTCCTTCAGAAGCTTCCGGGCTACGCCGACTTCGACGGCCGGACGGAGGTCCTGAAGATGCTCCGGCCGGGCTTCGGGCTCAAGGACGCGCCCAGGATGTGGAACCTGGTGCTCGTCAAAACCTTGGCGGAGTTCGGGCTGCGCCCGACCGCCACCGACCCTCAGCTGTTCGTGAAGCACGACTCTTCGGGACAGCTGCAGCTCATCGTCTCCGCGCACGTTGACGATTTGAAGGGAGCCGGCGAGGTCAAGGTGCGCGACGCCTTCATCGCCCACCTCGAGACCGAGTTCGGCAAGTTCAAGCACGAGTCCAAGTCGTTTGAGCACGTCGGCATCACTCGCTCTCAGCAGCCGGACGGCAGCATCTGGTTGCACCAGCACGAGTACGCCAAGACGCTGAGCCTGGTCGATATTGCCAGGTACCGACACGAGGACCTGGATTCACCAGCACCAACTGGGCTGGTCACAGCTTATCAGGCACTTTTGGGCGGCGTGGCTTGGATGTGCATGACGAACATCGCGTGCTGTGTCTACGCCAGCTACCTGCAGCGCCACTCCAAGAGCCCGTGCTTCTGACACGTTCGGGACTTGAACCGACTGTTAAGTGGATCAAGCTGCACCCGCATACGTTCAAGTACCGCAAGCTCGAGCCGCCGCTCAAGCTCGTGTGTGTCTCCGACAGCTCGTTCAGCGCCGGGGACACCGAAGGACTGGTGATGAGAGGCTGTATCCTCCTGTTGGTGGAGGATCGTGGGAGCAGTAGCAAAGGCACTGCGGTGGGCCCGTGCGGGCGGGTCCTAGTAGTTGACTGGTTTTCTAGGAAGCAGCCACGCGTGTGTCGCAGTACGTTTGCAGCGGAGCTGCATGCAGCCCTAGATGCCCTGAACCAGGCTATGATTGTGCAGACAGCTCTGCATGAGGTCGCCTGCGGTGTGGCGAAACCGTCACAGCTACTCGATCTTCGCATGCAATCCGCCTTGCACCCCGCGTTGGGGCTGTGTTTAGATGCGCGTTCCGTCTTCGACGCCGTAACGGCGAGCACGGTCAAGGTACCGGCAGACAAGCACCTCTTCCTGCATGTGCTCAAGCTGCGCGAATTCCTAGACACCCGGCAGCTCCGGCACTTGTGGTGGATAGACACCCGCATGATGCTGGCGGACGGCCTTACCAAGGGGTCCGTCGACCGGGAGGCGCTGACCGCAGCCTCAGAGGCCAAGTGGAGCCAGGCCGGGCTCCCACTAGTGTGCTGGCCTTCAGCACTCAGTAAGCCATAGATGTGGTTCCCTGTCATTTTGACCTGGACAGCAAAGCTGTTCGGAACTCGACCAGAGTTGTAGTATTACATACCCTCTTGTTCTTTCCTCCTGTTCCTCCTCTTCCGCTGCCGTTTCACCTCAGACAGCTGTTAAGTTACACGGACAAAACAATTGCGCATCTCTTTCTTCGCGTCCATCTCCCATTTCACTTCGCCTGGGTGCGCGTACGGCGTCGCTCCGCTGGGCCTCCCAGGAGCTCACGCAAGCTGCGACAGTTGCGCAGTTGGCGGACCCCCAACAAGCGTGGGGTCCCGTCTCGGTGCGCGTAGGAGTCGCTCCGCTGGGCCTCTGAGGAGCTCACGAAACTGGCGGCACTTGCGCATTTGGCAGCCCCCCCCAGGTAGCGCGGGGTCCCGTCTGGGTGCGGGTAGGACGCCGTTTTGCTGGGCCTCCTGGGAGCGCATCAAAGTGGCGTCAGTTGCGCAGTTGGCAGCCCCCCATCGAGCGCGAGGTCCCGTCTGGGTGCTCGTAGGATGTTGCTCCGCCGTGCCTCCAAGGAGCTTACAAACGTGGCGACAGTTGCGCAGTTGGCCCCCCAGATGGCAACTGCGCATCTGCGTCAACTGCACAGTTGCTCTTGCGAAGGACGTAGGCGCAGAAGGCAGCAGGAAACAGGAGGCTGGAGGCAGGGAAAGGGATATATACAGAGAGAGAGAGAGAGAGAGAGAGAGAGAAAGAGAGAGAGAGAGAGAGAGAGAGACGGGAGACGCAGAAGCACAAGGCGGGAGCCCGAGGCAGGAGCCAGAAGGCGGGCCGGCGTGACGGGGCGCGAGCAGATTACGATTCAAATCGAGGAACCAACACACATGAGGGTTGAGGAAACGAAATGAATATCAGTTGGAAGAGAAGGGAGTCGGCGAAGCAGAATGATCAGGAGCAAGGGGGGATGCTGCTGCTGCTGATGATGATGATGATGATGATCCAGATGCTAAGACATTTCATTGTACTTGTGGTGGCGATGATGATGGTGGTGGTGGTGGTCGTGATGATGATGACGATGATGATGATGACGACGATGATGAGGATGATGATCAGGATGATGATGAGGATGCAGGTGAGGATGAGGATTATGATGCTGTTGATGATGATGCTGATGATGATGATGATGATGATGGTGGCGATGGAGCTGATGCTGCTGCTGATGATGCTGATGATCATTATGCTGATGATGACGATGATAGTGGTAATCAGTGTTCGTGTTGATGCGTATGGTGTTGCTGGTTACGATTCTGCAACGGACGAGGACGACGATGATGATACTGTTAATCATAAAGAACATGATAATGATAATGATGATGCTGATGAGGATGATAAGGATGATCAGGATACTGAAGTCGATGATGATGCTGCTGATAATGATGCTGCTGCTGATGATGATGATGATGACGGTGATGATGCTGCTGCTGATGATGATTATGATTCTGATGCTTCTGCTGATCATGATGATGACGGTGGTGGTGGTGGTGACGATGATGATGGTGATGGGATGCTGATGCTGATGCTGATGAGGATGCTGATGATGATGATTACGACGATGATGATGAGATGATGATGATGATGAGGATGATGATGATGATGAAACTGCTGCTGCTGATGATGCTGTTGCTGATGCTGATGCTGATGCTGATGCTGATGCTGCTGCTGATGATGATGCTGATACTGATGCTGATGCAGACGACGATGATAATTATGATGATGACGGTGATGATGATGCTGATGATGCTGACGATGATGATGATGATGATGATGGTGATGATGCTGCTGCTGCTGCTGATGATGATGATGATGATGATGATGATGATGATGACGGATGATGATGATGATGATGATGATGATGATGATGATGATGATGATGATGATGATGATGATGATGATGATGATGATGATGATGATGATGATGATGATGATGATGATGATGATGATGATGATGATGATGATGATGATGATGATGATGATGATGATGATGATGATGATGATGATGATGATGATGATGATGATGATGATGATGATGATGATGATGATGATGATGATGATGATGATGATGATGATGATGATGATGATGATGGTGATGATGCTCATGATAGTTATGATGACGATGATGGTGGTGGTGGTGGTGGTGGTCGTGATGATGACGAGGGTGGTGCCCATGCCGTTGATGATGCCAATTGTGGCATGGATGATGATCACTGCTAGGATGAGGAGGAGGAGGAGGAGGAGGAGGAGGAGGAGGAGGAGGAGGAGGACGAGGAGGAGGAGGGAGGAGGGAGGAGGAGAGGAGGAGGAGGAGGAGGAGGAGGAGGACGAGGAGGAGGAGGAGGAGGAGGAGGAGGAGGAGGGAGGAGGAGGAGGGAGATGAGGAGGACGGAGGCGTCGGAGCGGACGCCGCCGACCTCGCTTTGAGGCCTCCCGAGGGGGGCCCTGTGCGCCTGCGCCGCCGACTGAGGCTCAATGGACACGGGGCACAAGGAGGGGATGCAGACGTTCGGCGAGGCCGGCGGCGGAGCGACCCCGCGCTGGCAGCGGCGACCGCGAACGGATCAGGGGCAACTTTATGGGGGTGGGGATAGGCTGAGGGGGGAAGTTTTCGAATGGTTCCCAATTTGCTCCCAGGGTTGCTTCCTTCAGCTGCGGCTCGTCGAGCGTTCTGGAGCTGTCCAGATCGTCCCGAACGGCCGCCAGAGACCCGAGTTATGACCCGAAGATCGGACGACGAGGATAAACTGGGAGGGGGTAGGCTGTGGGGGTGATGCATCGGCCCCCAATCGCCTATTCATCGCCGAGAGGGGCGCGGTAGCCCACCCCACCGTGGGGTCGCTCCGATCACAGACCGGCTCAAGACGTCAGGCTGCGGCTCACAGATCGCGAACCCGTTGCTGGTTCTCCTGGCTCGGCTCCTCTGCGGCCTCGGCTGCTGCCCGCTCCCGCTTGACTTGGTTCAAGCGGTCGCTGTTCGCTTCGCTGCCCGTGCTGCCGCTCCCACTGTCACCCGCTGGGCGGGGGGGGCTCTGCTGCGGCTGCGGCCGCAGCGGCGTCGACGGCGACGGCGACGAGGGCGACGGCGAGGGCGGCGAGGATGGTGGCGACAACGGCGACGGCGACGATCTCGTGGTCGTCGGCGACGGCGGCAACAGCGGCGACTACGGGGATGGAGGAGGGAGAAGGGTAATGCATGCTTCAGGACGTCTGTGATCCCCTTTAGGCCTTAGGCCTCTGGGGGCCTCTGGGGCTCTCCAGGCAAGAAGGGGGTCCGGCCGCGGAGGTGGAGAAGGGTATGCAGGACGAGGCGGAGTACGGGGTGCTCGCGTTGCTGGAGGTGGTGCAGGCCAGTTGTGAAGATCTCCCTCCCGCCTCATCCATGCGTCTCCTCCCCCTCTTTCTCCTCTCTCCAGCCTCCCTCCTCCTTAACACGCTCCCGCTCCCGCTCCTCCTTCAGCTCGTTCTCTCCCTCCCCATCTCCCCCCTCCTGCCTTTGAACCGCATGCTTCTGCTCGTCGTCTCCTTCTCTCCTCTCCGTCTTTCGGGTCCTCTTCGTCGTCCTCCTCCCTCATCTCCCCTCCCTTCATCCCCCGCTTCTTTTCGTTATTCTTTCCCTTCCTGTTTCTCTCTCCTTCCCCCTCTCCTCTTCTCCTGCCTCCCCTTTCCCTTCTCATACTCTGGCTTCCCGTGCCCGCATTGGTCCAAACATGCCGCTCCTGTGGATCGTGCGGCGACTCTGTATGCGCGAAGCCTGGAATCTGGTTTCGAGGAAACAGACACGATGTCCGTGACCAGGATGTCGCGGGATCTTGTCTATGCAGATCTTGGTCACGGTCCATGCTGGCCGTCGCCGCTTTGCGAGGATGATCCTATTAATGATGACCAAGACGGACAGTGACCAAGATCGGCACCCACATTTTCGCGTTCAGTCTTGATCATGGTCCTCGTTCTCTTGCCCTCCACTCGCCGCGGTCGAGGACCCCCCGAGCGCCAGGCTGCCAGTGACCTGGTGTCGGCGGCGGAGCACGGTCGAGCATCGGAGAAGCGCTCAAATCAACAAGTCTCGAAGCTTCAGCCCTCGGGGCTCGAAGGATTTCGCAGGAGGAGCAGCGAGGGAAACATTGCCCGTGAGCATCTGCGACTAAAACCAGGTAGATCCTCTGCCTGCCACTACGCCGCGCCAACCGAGCTCAAGACATGGGACGTGCGATCGAAGGAATCGAGCTTTGACCGTTGAGATGACGGCTGAGGGCTGCGCGGCCATCTTGCCGTCGCTGTGGACCAGCGTCATGGACGGTGTCCTGCAGAATCTCGTAGATGGGTCACTGCTGATAAGCACCTTGACAGACGTGTCGAAGTACGAGGTGATGGCCGCCGTGTCACCATTGCTCATCAGCAGTGACGCCAATAAGGAATTCATCCGGTCCTAGGGCGAGAAGTGCAGTGAAACGGCCTGTGCTGTGCGGGATGGCGCGAAGTCGAGCTGGTCAACGCCCTCATGCCACCTGTCCCCGGCTGGTCTGATGGCTAGCTTCCTGCAGGTTGATCGGTTGATCTTCGACGTGGGGGGTGAGGTGGTGAGCAGTCTGTGATGGGTGAGGCGGCTGAGCGGGGCATCGGGGGCCCGAAGAGTGTGCCCAGCGTGCTGGCACGCGGCCCTGCAATGCCATGTCCCGGTGTCGTCGCAAATCGGACGGCCGCGGAGCTTGGGAACGAGTCCCAAGCGTAAGCGGCCACCAGGGCGCGTCGCGAATGCGGGAACCTAGGGCGTGGAAAAATCGAAACGCTTCGACAGCTTCTCAACGCGTGGTTTGACGCGCGCGCTGCAAGCACGTAGGAAGTTGAGGGTGACCTCGCCGAAGGATCCGAGGCGTTTCACCAAGCGGCTTCGGTTTCCGTCAGCGCGATTGGGACTACCTTCCTGGTGCTGAAGCGCGACATTTGGATCATGACCCCGACCGTGGACTCGGTTGCGGGGCGCATGGAGTCGATCGAGGCCCTATTCTCCTCTTCCCCTACGACCTTATCTGAAAGCATCAGTTTCGTTTCATCTGCAGCTTCCACACTGGATATTCGTCTGTGACTGCGACGTCAGACGTAGCTAACTAGCTGATCTTCCTGTTCCATCTCACCCATCCCATTTCGTGCCTTCCTCATCCATCTACCAATCATCTCCTCCTCGTCCTCGTCCTCCTCCTCCTCGTCCTCCTCGTCCTCCCCGTCCTCCTCTTCCTCCTCCTCCTCCTCCTCCCTCGTCTTCTTCGGTTTCTCCTCCTCGTTCTCGTCCTCCTCCTTGTCTCCTCCTCGCGTCTCTTGCCCTGCTCCCCCCAAGCGAACCGTGCGAACCTCTCAAAGTTCATGCTCGTGCTTTTTTTCTTCCTCTCCAGCTCCTCCTTCCTGCAGGACCTGGAGGAGAGAGGGGGAGAGAGGGAGAGGGGCGAGGGGTAAGCTAGGTGCGCTCGCGCCACGTCTGACCCTCTGACATCCAATCCCTCCCCCCATCCCTTCTCATCGCGCTCATTTGAGTGGCCTCCTGTCAGTGCCACCGATCTGGGGCTCTCCCCCCGTCCATGGGTCGCTGGAGGGGGGGAAGGAGGGGCTCGCTCCCCCCGGTTCTGGAGGGGTCCATGGGACCCTCCCCCACATACTCGGGATGGGCAAATCAATCACAAAATGGGTCCCCTGGGGGGAGGGAATTTGGTACACGCCCCCCCCCCCCTCCCACCCTTCCCCGCCTGAGTCTCCCTGGCCACCCCCAGCGGAGCTGAGCTGAAGCTCAGGCTTTTTTTAAACTCACACGCCGGATCTCTTCTTTATCCGCGGATGCGTGTCATAGCTCGATTACCCATTCATTACCCCAGCAAGCACCCAAACAGCAGCAAAGGTGACCCGTGGGACTTGCGTTGCGGGACAGGTGGGGACTGTGGGGCTTGTGCGATCTGTGAAGCCCGTGGAACCTGTGGGACTTCTGTGTCCTGTGGGATGTGTGGGACATGTGGGACCTGTGGGGCGGGGGGAACTATGAATTTGTGGGACGTGTGAGACCTGCAGGACTTCTGGTACTTGTGCGACCTGGGGGACCTTTGTGGCCTGTGGGGCCTGTGAGACTTGCGACACCTGTGGGACCTGCGGGACCTGTGGAAATCTGCGGGACCTGTGGGAATTGTGGGACCTGCCAGACGTGTGGGACCTGTGGCACCGGCGGGACCTGCGGGTCCTTTGGGACCTGGGGGACCTCTGCGGGACCTGTGAGACATGCAACACCTGTGAGACTTGTGGGACCTCTGCGGGGCCTGTCGGACCCGTGGGACTTGTGGGACCTGCGAGACCTGCGACACCTGTGGGACCTGTGGGACCTGTGGGACCTGCGGGACCTACGGGACGACCTGCGGCACTTGTGGGTCCTTTGGATTTTGCGGGACCTGCAGGGGGTCTGCGAGGCCTGCGAGACCTGTGGAATCCAGAAAAGTGGCCCACGCTGAGGCAAGAGCGCCAGTCTAAAGCGCCGATCCGAAAATGAAGCCCATGCTGCAGCGAGAGCACCTTGTCTAAAACACCGAAAACAAACGGGGTGTGCCCAACACATGGGAAACGCAGTTCGGCCCAGACACGACGCGGATAGGGGGCGGTAGATTCTCTGGACAACTGCAGGGAGAGGCTGTTGTGGTTGTTGTTGTGATTATTGTTGTTCTTGTTGTTCTTGTTGTTGTCGTTGTTGAACATTATTTATTCTAAAGAATAATTATTGTTGGGCCCCCTGGTGCGCGCCCCCCCTGCGCCGCCTAGGCCGCAGCTACATTTTCATCATTTTCGTGAGGAAGCCTCAGAAAAGAGGGTGTGTACAGGATCCGGTTGTTTTGTTGTAATCCGCTTTCCCTTGCAAAAAACAATAGAAAATGACATTTCTTGTTCTAATATAATCAAATTTCAAGAATCCCTTGCAAAAAATAAGGTAAAGTGGACATTCGCGCGCGCAAGACGAAATCCTTCCAAAACCTTAGTGTTCGCAGCGATTTTAACATAAAAACATCAAAAAACCAATGGTTTTTCAACAAAAAATGTCAAAATCTCATCCCGCGCGCTCTTGCGGATTCGTAGGAAACCCAACACTTTTTAAACATTTCTGTCAAACGGGCTTTTGCGAGCAACTTTTTCGAACTTCTGCGACAACGGTTGCGCACCTGCCAGGGCCATCATCCCTGTCAAATAATACCATGCGGGACACATTCGTTTTTTCTTCGCGCGCGCACGCCGTCGTCGTCGGCCGCGGGGCCCTGAATAGTAGCCACGGTCGTCCGCATGCCACGAAGTGAAGTGTCCGAACGTCATAGGGCGGGAAGCTGGGTGTGGGTGGTGGCGAAGAGTCGTTTGGAAATTTGGTAGAGCTTGAACCGGCCCCCCCACAAAGTGGGGGTATTGCCCGCCTCCTATGAAAACCCTGGCACTGGTGAGAACGGAGTGTCCCCACGTGCTAGTAATTGTTGTTGTTGTTGTTGTTGTTGTTGAACATTATTTATTCTAAAGAATAATTATTGTTGGGACCCCTGGTGCGCGCCCCCCCCGCCGCGCCTAGGCCGCAGCCACATTTTCATCATTTTCGTGAGGAAGTCTCAGGCAAAACGTGTGTCCGGATCCGGTTGTTTTGTTGTCGTTTTCCCTTGCAAAAAATAAGCTAAAGTGGACATTTCTTGTTCTAACATAACCAAACTTCAAGAATCCCTTGCAAAAAATAAGGTAAAGTGGACATTCGCGCGCGCAAGACGAAATCCTTCCAAAACCTTAGTGTTCGTAGCGATTTTAACATAAAAACATCAAAAAACCAATGGTTTTTCAAAAAAAAAATGTCAAAATTTCATCCCGCGCGCTCTTGCGGATTCGTAGGAAACCCAACACTTTTTAAACATTTCTGTCAAACGGGCTTTTGCGAGCAACTTTTTCGAACTTCTGCAACAACGGTTGCGCACCTGCCAGGGCCATCATCCCTGTCAAATAATACCATGCGGGACACATTCGTTTTTTCTTCGCGCGCGCACGCCGTCGTCGTCGGCCGCGGGGCCCTGAATAGTAGCCACGGTCGTCCGCATGCCACGAAGTGAAGTGTCCGAACGTCATAGGGCGGGAAGCTGGGTGTGGGTGGTGGCGAAGAGTCGTTTGGAAATTTGGTAGAGCTTGAACCGGCCCCCCCACAAAGTGGGGGTATTGCCCGCCTCCTATGAAAACCCTGGCACTGGTGAGAACGGAGTGTCCCCACGTGCTAGTAATTGTTGTTGTTGTTGTTGTTGTTGTTGTTGAACATTATTTATTCTAAAGAATAATTATTGTTGGGGCCCCTGGTGCGCGGCCCCC